TGTTTCGCCTTAAGACACTTGCCCTAAGGCTCTTCAGTACCAAATTGGATAACATTATAGAAAATACACACACTTCATTCATGAACTACGATTTTTTAATGTCATGGAATAAGCTTGATCTGCTTATGTCATCGATGACATCGTAATGACATTCATTCACCTATTTGATTCAATCCCAGCCAAGAGGAATCTTATTTGAATTGAAGAGGTTATATTTTTTATTAGTAAATAATTTTTGGGAAAGAAAGTGTTTGGCTTTCTACTACTCCATCTTGATACAAAAAAAAGAAGGATGAAGGAGTCTTCCAAAGAAAGGAAAGAAGTAACTCTATACATGGATGTGTAGATCATGCAAAGAAGTAACTTTCAAGATGGAGTAGTAGAAAGCCAAAAACTTTCTTTCCCAAAAATTAATCACTCCTAAAAAATATAACCCCTTCAATTCAGGCAAATTTATATTAATTAATACCCCAGTCTGACGCCTATTAATATTATCTTAAACGTAATATCAGAAAAAAAATCGAGCGATTTTTTGGCGGTATTTTCGCATTCTTTGTCGGTGTTTTCGCGTTCTTTGTCGCATATCCCTATTTTAATGGCTCGTTAGAGGCGTCCTGAAGGGATATAGAGGGTATACATATCTCAATGATTTTTGGGTGAATTGCAGTACTATTTGCTTGAGACGACTATGTTGCTTTCTTTGATGTATAGCGACATGTTTGCATTCTTGAAATTCTTTTACTCTCAGACAATACTGAACGAACTATAATAGGTTAGACTCGGTTAGAGTCTAAAATGATTATAATTTAGAAGTAACTTTCAGTTTATGCTTGAGGAAGCTATTGCATGGCGAAACTCGTGTCGCGGTTTTTGTAAAACCCTTTATAGTGAACATCACACAATAAACTGTATTGGTTAGTTTTTCAATATGAATTTCCATCAAGTATTAGCCAGTTCTAATCAATTAAGAGTGTTTTCATTCATTTTACTGAAATATCTATTTGTCTGTTTTTTGTTATCATTAACTTTTCCTAGATCTTAGAGCTTTTACGGTAATAGCCCAATCAGGAATTTTTCCGTTTTACCGTTTTTTTTTATTCATAACATTTTATTGTGTAACTGGTTGATATGTAAATCTTACTTACTTTTGGAAGAGGTTTCGGAGGTGGAGTTAGACTCATTCCCTCAAATGTAATCGTAGCTGGTCCAAGAGGTCTAACATCATTCATGATCGGGTTGACGTTAATAAATAACATATCAACGTCACTGACTAGATCAGTAAACGACGGAACAGAATTTCCAAAATGTTCTCTCAAGATTCGGTCCCTTTCTGGTATTTCTACGTATTTACTCTGGTAAGTCACAAACAAGTAATAAGTAGTACTGATCAACCTCTCTACAAAACTAAGTTCTCCACTGAAGGGTAGAACAGGTTCCGGGAAGAGTGAAGGGTGAGTTGGATTTCCCATGAATCCGTGAATGGTTATTTTTGGATCCATCGAGCTGATCAAGATTTTAGGACACTTGTACAATTCGGCAAACATTAAAAATTCGGGAAAGAACGCTTCTACTATGACAACATCAAATAGAGTTTTGTTCTGTACCAATTTTCTCACGTTTTCGTCAGAAAGTTGTTTTCTAGCAATTTCACTTGTTTTTTTCTGAAAGTACCGCATCACGGTTATTGGACTGGATTCGTGTAAAACATGAGGAAGATCTGACACTATTTCGTAGGAATAATGAACATCGATTTCAGTCAAGTTGGTCAATTTTTTGTCATTTATTGGATCCGCCGTCACGAGTGTAACTTGATGTCCTTTGAGTAAAAATTCTCTCCATATCGGCCTGAAGGCTACTTGATGGCTGTAAGACGGTGAAGGTATAATGGCTAAAATTCTTGAAGCACTGATTTCAGTCAAGCACATTATCACTGTCATTAAATGTATTGAAAACTTCATCTTTGTGTACACTTTCAACTGTTTCTGACTACGTATTTTTCAATTATAAGTGTTTTCAGAAACTTGCCAAAAAATCTTATTTTAAGAATATCTGGGTCTTGATATCAGATACTCGATGATGATACTGGCCCCAATTTATAACACCTGCATGGATTTTTGATACTGAGACAATTGGTTTTGATAATACAAGATTAGAATATACAGGGTTATTCATGAAAGACATTCTGCAGGTGAACATTCAGGATCTGTTTGTTATGTCATATCTAAACATTCCTGGATGTGATCAAATTACAGATAATATACTTGTGATGCTCTGTTTGGAACCTTTGGTGTAGTAATGAATATTACTGGAGTGTTTTCCCAACACCAAACCGTTATTTTAACACCTCGACACGTGATTCGATCACCAAGTGATCACCTTCAAGAGGAAGATCAGTTTGATCTGTCTAAAAGTATGCAATAGCATATATCTACCTTTTATGTGGTAGCCACTATATACAAAATACTGAGTCATAAATACAATTATTATTTTTTATCAATTATATATTCATTTGACAACTTTACACTTGGATGTTTGTTGCAAGTCAGTTAAAATATACATAGAAAAAAAATTAAACTTATATATTGACCATAGTGATCTGACAAGCATGGTTCAATTATACCTGCTCTGAAGGAATTTTGAAGGAACAATTAAATTGGATACTTTTTTTAGACTGCACATTTCAGAATATCTGTCAAATTATTATAAAAATTTATACAATTGTCGTTTTGAGTATTCAATATAGATGAATTTTGTCTTTACACTAAGAAATTTCGACGAATCATTTGAAAGTTATCCCGATAAGATTAACTTGACCCAACGCAGTAAGCCATTACGCGTTGCGTCTACTATAAGCACTACTACTAAGCAATGAAGCGCCATCGCGGATAACGCGACCCGAACGCGGGCAGATGCGTGTTTACGGTTGTGTTAGTTTTGCGAAATTACTTTATAGGTATTACTAGCTGTTGCCCGCTCTTATATTAACGTACAGCTGAAGCTACTGAACCTAGAACCTTGAAATATGCAGGTAGTTTCTTTGTATAGCGTAAATGAGCATCAAGAAAGGAAATCGGGAATTTCCAGTTTTGAAGTTGGATACCTGAAGTTTTGGATTGATAATAAAATATTGTAACTATTTGTACAAAATGGTCTGTCACGAAACTAAATGTGATAAACCAAATTCTACGCGGACGAAGCCGCGCCAAAATCTAGTTTCAAATATAATTTAGGTTGTTTCAAGAGTTTTGTCCGTTTTTATGAGCCTATTTCAAACCGTAATATTTCAGTGAATAGGTATTCAATTCAATTGAAATAAGCGACATTTGAATCAATGAGCTTTTGCTAACGTAACACAGGTCGATTGATTCCGTCAGCATGAAAATTGAGTGATCGGGATTCGATGGAATCGACGAAGTCCGCTTTTGCTTGTTCATTGGTATCCAATCACTGTCCTAAAGGTCTCCTGTTGTCGTAACGATACAATCAATAATAGAAACTGTCCGTAACCTCCATTTTCGTTTTACTTCATTTCTACCTCAGAGAGTTTTTTAGATTTCAGAATTGATCTGGAAAAAGATCAGCTTTGTTCTCACTCATGAACAAACCTGGAGAATGGGGAATGCTCTTCCTGACGAAAATTAAGTAGTTTTCATAAAAGAACTCTAAAACAACTGACATTTTGAGAGTATTTGCTAGAGCTTCTCCGATTTTTTATATAATACTTCTATGTTGTGAAAGTTTGTGGACGTGAACCATATTTATTGTTTTTGTATTGTTCAACTTCTGTAGTTTTATTTTGTTTTTCAATTATGATTTAGCACATGTACTCAATGTACCAAAGTGTCAAATAAATAAACAAATAAATAAATAAATCGGCATAATTGAAGTACTTAAATAATCCTGAGTACTATGAAAACAGTTTTCCAGGAGAATAGTTCTGACTCTGTTTTTGAAAGAGCTTTGTTTGAGCACTTTGAACGAATTGGGAAGATGATTGTAGAGGTTGATATTCAATGAATTTTTAATAGACCTTGTGAGTTTGTATCGAGGCTGTTGAACAGATATGCATTTCTTGTAGCATGATTATGAATATCCTGATGCTGCGAATAGATTGATTTATTTTTATGGATTTTAAGTAATTGACTATATATGAATACCGATGGTAGTGGTAGTATACCCATTTTTTGACAAGCGGCTTACAGTGATCTCTATGATTGGCATTTATCAATATTCTGACTGCTTTTTTCTGAAGTCTGAAGATTTTAATGGAGTGAGAGGAATTACCCCACAAAACTATGCCATAATTCATATGTGAGTGGAACAAAGCAAAATATGAACTTCTTACTCAGTTCATCAATTTGTGCATACCATGATAAATTCCGGTCAAGAGTGAGTCCTAGTAGTTTGGCAGTATCATCGCCATTTTCAGTGGTTTCAGTATTTGAGGTCGTAAAGAAGACCTTCTGGATCTTGCTTTCGTTTAATTTCAACTGATTTGTTGTGAACCACAGAGACGCATGTCTCAGAGTATCATCAGTAATAGATGGTGATTCGATTATGTTTTTCTGAGACGTTATTAGAGTTCCGTCATCTGCGAAAAGAACACATTTACCTGGTGACAAAATGACTGAAGTCATTGAAATATATCAAGAATAGCACTGGTCCCAGAACGGATCCCTGCGGTACATCATTCTTGATAGTTTCATTGTCACACATGTTTCCATTCACACACACACAGATTGGGTTCTGTCACATAAGTACGACTGAAATGAACTGAGTGGTAGCCCCCTCACTTCATAAAACTCCAACTTTTTGAACAGAACATCGTGCGAAACGCAGTCGAATGCTTTAGAGAGATCACACATGGCTAATATCACTTGTTCACCTCTCTTAAGACCCTCGATAACCAGACTCACAGTTTCTCGAATTGCATCTGTTATTGATCTACCCGCTCTGAATCCGTATTGATCTTCACTAAATAATTTGTTATTGATAAAAAAGTTCATGAGCCCGTTCTTCAAAATAATGTCAAAGATTTTTACCAAAACGGGAATGATTGATATTGATCTATAGTTACCAACCAGAGACCTGTCTCTTTTTTTAAAAAGAGGCACTACCTTTGTACATTTAAACATGTCTGGAAAACACCCTTTTTGTATACACGAGTTGAATAAAAATGTCAAAGGATCTATAATTGCTTCAATTATACCCTTGATCATTGCACTGTTCATACCGTAAATATCTAAGCAAGAAGAATTTTTCAGGCATATCACTGCATCAATTATTTCTTATGGCGTTACAGGTTCAAGAAATAATGAAGAACATGATGATTTAGCACGATTAAGTAAATAATTGGACTTCGGGTAGTTCTGAAATAACATTTTCTGCTATATTAATGAAGAATTCATTAAAAATATCCCCGTTGGTTCTGTCTAGGGTTTCTATTCAACTCATGATTCATAATTTGCCAAGTACTTTTTTGTTTATTATCAGAGTTTCTAACAAAATCACTATATGACTCTCTGTACTAAGTCAAAATGCTCAGTATGGAATCTGTGCAAAGTTTTTCGTATTTGGAGATTGTTTTATATTTCTATATTCTGTGATCGTATCAATTTTGATGTCTATGAACTTGATATATTAAAATATGGAATAATAAATACTGAGTGTTTATTTGAATACTTTTCGAAGTGAATTTGAAAAACTCATGAATTAAACTCAACTTTATTTTGTTCAAACTTGCATTTGCTGTAATAACCCAAATTGAGGAACATTCCCCATTATGTCCTTTCTGTATGGACGACCATCGCTTTACTCAATGGATCGAGTTGAATTGGGTATGTCAAGACATTTTTTGAGTTTATCCTCATGACATACAAATATCATTATTATTGACTGAGACACATCTCACACATCATTAGGAATTCGATGTCAAGGGGGCAAATATTCCAAAACCTGGAGCTAAAGATGAATTATCATTAAAAAACAAGATAGAACAATCTGCTTCACTTCAATTCACTTTCTCTTGCGCTACCGTGGGGTTAATTGTTGACGATACTAATTACTTCCTTTATTAAATGGAATGAATTTTCATTCAACAAAGGTGTTTCACTAAAGAGCAAATTTTGTATGAACATTGCATAGCAAAAAGGTATTGTCGCAACTCAGTCGCTGTTTCACTCATTCATCATTCATCCAAATAATGAAAGAACACATTTAAAAACTCAAATAAATATGTATTGTAACGAAACGGGGAAAATAATTCAGGAATAAACTCAAACTGAAATGTTAATCAAAAATACAATAAATCACCAAAAACTTACATTATACTGCCACCCAACAGTATTTGGAAATTGTTTTATATTTCTATATTCTGTGATCGTATCAATTTTGATGTCTATGAACTTGATATATTAAAATATGGAATAATAAATACTGAGTGTTTATGTTTTAGAATATTGAAGTTGAAGTTAGAACATCTTTCAATTCATGTATTCGCTTGAATGAATTTCAATTATTTCATGATTATTTTTCATGTTTGACAAAATCATCTCCGTTCTTAGAGAAAGGTTAAAGGTGGACATTTGATAACACTTCCACATGTACCTATAAAGTCATAGATTCCCCTCATGTGAATCTATGACTTTATAGGTACATGTGGCGGATACCCGAAGGAAAAACAACAACTAACCCAGCTAAGGCTGCGCAGAAAGCTGAAGTGAAAGAATCAGGCATCTGTGCAACGTCTTCCATTCGGAAGATTCTTCGCAAAAACTTGCTATATATGAAAACTATAGACCGGTCTCGGAGTACTTGCTCCTTATCAGTACGGGGAAGATCATTTCAGACGCAGTGAACTGTCTAAGTATCCCGAACAAACGAAATAATTTTCAACTAGCCCATCTCTCTATGTTATTGTCTAACTAGTCTCATCTGCAGTTGATCCAGTAAGATCTCTGCGCTACCTGCAGACAAAGTCAGGAAACAACTTCCCCAACACATACTCTGGGGTGGAAGTCAGACTGATGAATAAATGTTTTCCAGAGAGGTACATTATGATATGCTCAAGTTTGAGTAAAAACACCATACCCTTGCCTCTCATATGAACATACAACTTTGTAGGTATGTGTGGCAGACACCCGACTGAGAAACAACAACAACGAAAGAATGAGAAATGAATTCATTGAAATAGGTAAACTTTCCATAGAATATTGAAGTTGAAGTTGGAACATCTTTCAATTCATGTATTCGCTTAAAGGAATTTGAATTATTTTCCATATTTGTCACAATCATCTCCGTTCTCAGAGAAAGGTTAAAGGTGGAAATTTTATAACATTTTCACAGTCACACAAAACTGTAATCATTTCTTCCGTAGAGGTGCATATGGCATACTCAAGTTTAGGTGAAAACATCTCTCCCTTGCCCCTCATGTGAGCCTACGACTGTATAGGTACATGTGGCAGATAAACGACGGAAAAACAACAACTAACCCAGCTAATGTTGCGCAGAAAGCTGAAGTGAAACAATCATGCATCTGTGCAACGTCTTCCATTCGGAAGTTTCTTCGCAAAAACTTGCTATATATGAAAACGATAGACCGGTCTCGGAGTACGGGGAAGATCATTTCAGACGGAGTGAACTGTCTCTCTATGTTATTGGCTAACTAGTCTCATCTGCAGTTGATCCAGTAAGATCTCTGCGCTACCTGCAGACAAAGTCCGGAAACAACTTCCCCAACACATACTCTGGGGTGGAAGTTAGACTGATGAATAAATGTTTTCCAGAGAGGTACATTATGATATGCTCAAGTTTGAGTAAAAACACCATACCCTTGCCTCTGATATGAACCTACAACTTTGTAGGTATGTGTGGCAGACACCCGACTGAGAAACAACAACAACGAAAGAATGAGAAATGAATTCATTGAAATAGGTAAACTTTCCATTCTTCTATAATGAACATTTGTTCACCTGAATAGAAAGTTGAAAATGATAACCATGAGTAGCTATTCACTATTGTTTTTTATCTTTTCGTTTGAGAACGTTATCTTATCTTCAAGGGTTTTATTTAGACAAGTGAGAGAAATATGACTCCGAAACATGAATCAGTTGTGTAATTTTTGTTTGAAACCAGCTTACCTTTGATTATTATTTAGTATTCTGCGGACATAAGGAACCATGCTATACAGAACGGCTCTTCTCTTTATCATCTTCTCATCTTTGGATCATGCGGAAAGTGCTAGAATTTTAGTCTCCATTTTTTCGCCGTCATTCAGCCATAATGTAGTATTCAGACCGATTTGGAAGGAACTGGCGAAAAGAGGGCACGACATAACTCTTCTCACAACTGATCCTATGCGAGATCCGAAGCTTAAAAACATCAGAGAAATTGATCTGAGCGGTTCCTACGAAATTATGGAAAAATATAAAGCTTCCGAACTATTAACGAAAGGGAAAAATGAGGGAAAAAATACTGTGAAACTCATAGTTGACTATCTTAATGCGCTGGACCACACTGCTGACTGGCAACTTGAACAACCCGAAGTGAAGCAGTTGATACAAAATACTAGTGAATATTTCGATCTTGTTATAGTAGAGGTAATGAATCCCATCCAAATGGCGTTTGCTGAAAGGTAATTTATGTAGATAAGTTTTAGAAGTTCTCACATTCATGGTGCTTGAATAACAATTCACGAATTTGGGCAGCAAAAAAAGATTGGTACTGTTTACCGGATTTTGACTGCGGGTGGCACAGTGGACCTTCTACTGTATCAACTGCAGATAGAGTTTATCACTAGTTGGAATTGATTTTGTTTGGTTCGAAATACTCAGATGATTTACTTTGTCTGAAATGACCTGACGAGGGGCAAGTACCCTGAAACCTGTCTATCGGTGGTCGCTTCGACATGAAATTAATTTTTACTGCTTTTCATATAAAACTTGTAAATTAGTACCAATCAGATATAAAAATTTATCTGTTGTAGAAAATTTGAGGAGAGAGAATGAAGTCTGTAGGCTTCATTTAAATTTCTCTTGGATACGAATTTTGGACGATGCTTTGAAAAAATTAAGTTGTTTAGAAATAAGTGGAGATATACAAAATTTGTGAGTTGATAATAGAGAAAAGTAGCTAGATTTAGGTGTTTAGATTTTGCTCCATAAATTTCGATAAAACTTATTCAAAAAGTCATAATAACAATTAGGCAACAAACTGTTAATTGATATAAACACAATTTAGTCCAACCTTCCTAGAAAGAAGATCTAAAATTTTGAAAAAACAATAAGGATTGCGTACTATATCCACTGAGTAGTACAATGAAAAACAACACTGCACATACATAGAGAAACGTCAGGTATTTACGCCAAATATGAAAAGTTCAAACTTTTTCAAGTCATACACATATGTGAACAATCACTTGGCAAGTCATTTCTATCAGTTTGTCAAAGTTGAGACGATATTGCAATGGGGAATGTTCCTCCTGACGAAAATCAAGTAGTTTTCATAAAAGAGCGCTAATAGGTATACATTATTATTAAAATTTTCAACATCATCCTTCCCACAAATACCATAATAACTACAAAAATAGTAAATAGAAAATACATTAGTATGAATTAAAACAATAATGAAACATAAACACTTAATCTGACTATTTATGTGCTCTTAAAATTCCAACTGAATATTTCAAGGTTTCAAGAGAGATTAATTTTACAGTTTTCATAGAAATTCTGAACTGTTTGCCAGAAAATTTGGAAATTGTTCCTCGAGCACCAATGACTTACATGACTTTTAGTTACAATTAAAAGTGGTAAAAAACATAGAAATTTGATCTCCTACCACGTAGTAACGGCTACACCCGTCAATTTAAAGAATTTGATAGTTAGTTCCTATAATTTTTTTTTCTGTATCAACTTCTGCAGTTTGAGAATTACCTATTTCGAATCTTATTGTTGGTTCCAATATGAATGCAATAAATATCCTTCTTTCTGTCTATTGCTATAATATCAATTCTTCTAATGCTACCATTGAAAGATGTACAGTCGGCTTTCTCATAATGTGGTGGCTATTAGGTGATATCTAGTGTTTCCCTGAAGTAGGCCAAGTGAACAAGATCCCAAGACGTGAGGAAGGGTTTCAATCTCAGTCCAATGTTGCACTGGGTTCCATCTTGGGATCTACCTGGTATTCCTCTTAGATTCAGTACACATCCTGTCATTTCAACACCTTCTTTTCATTCAGATTTCTGGCACAATCATATCTCCCAACTTTCGCCCAAAATAGGTCCATTTGTCATTAATGATAACTATATTCAGTTTGATTAAATATGTTTAGCTTCATCATCGAAGGATCTTATTTTGTCTAGTTGCAAATTTTGTTACGATCTAAGTTTCTCAGTTATATTGCGGTCAATGGACTTAGGTCACTCTTGCCCCCCAAATATGAGTTGCAATCCTCGTGGTTCTAGTTCCCTTTCAGTGGAAGAGCTTCATGAAGCAAGAGCCGAATCGATACCTCTACGAAACCTTTCATCACTTGGAAGGATCGATCGCAACTTGAGAAATGGTTCTTATGCAGATTATGTGAAACATGTTCCTCCTTACGAATCAGTAGAGAGGTGTCCTGAAAATCTAGAGAAGAAAATTGGATTGGATAATTTAGGAAACACTTGCTACACGAATAGCATTTTACAAGTGTTGTTAGAACGAGAATGTTTCCTACGTATTCACCAAACTCAAACACCTATTCATGCAGCTGCAGTTTCGTAAGAATATATCATATTTCCCTCCAACCGATTTCCTGGAATCTTTGTAGTCCACTATCTACTCCTTAGGACAACAAGAGGATTGCTCCGAATTCTTGGGGTTCTTGTTGAATACTGTTCGTGAGCAAAACAATAGCAGAATCAATACTCCTGGTCGCTCTGGATTGAATGATTCCGTACGGTCTATCTCGTCTCGTGTTTGTAAATCTTTTGCTTGAAAAATACTCTCTTGTTTATTTTCTAGTAAATGTTCAAGTTCAACTAGCGTTTCCTAATATGACTAATAACCAGTCCGTGCAAAGCTTATCGTTAAATCATCTAAAAATGGGCTTTTTAACAAGTGATGATCGACTGTAGTGCCAAACATGCGCCAAACTAACTGACTGTTATGAAGTACAACAAGTATAGCTGAGGCACCAGTCAATCTAATAATAACACTGATGATCTTCAAACATGACTCAACCTCTGGCGTAAGCACCAAACTCTTACGAAGGTTCGAAATAGATGAACACTTCAATCTAGCAGACCACTATTAATGCAGTCATTGTTCACCATGGTTCTGACGTTGAATTTGGTCATTATTACGCCTTGGTCAAAGACGAAACGGACTGGTTTAAGTTTGACGACTGTCGTACCACGAAGTGTTCTGGCGATGATTTGAATTTATTGGAGTCTCTGGAGACACCCTACGTTTTGTTTTATGAGAGGCAGGACTTTGGCAGATCAAGATCTTCAAATGATGTGGTGCTGCAGTTTTTCCGGGTTTTCCTGCAGTTGAAACAGCAAATGCGCCACTGGAATCAATGAAGTCGCCCAGGAGAGCTAAATAATTTTTATTGTTGTTTTATAATTTCAATTATAATAAGTTCAATGAAAAGTTATATTGGAGCTTTGAAGAAACTGTTCTCACTATGCTCCAAAGACACCTAGTCCTTTTACTTTTGGAGAAGAGTAGATCAACGTCAGCATTTCTTTTTATTTCACCCCCTATTTCAATAGGTAATGAATATTTAATAACGACATTTGTTTTCACAGATTCAAAGTTCCATTCATTGGAATAACGCCTGTAGATGCGCCTTATAGAATACATGCAGCATTAGGAAATTACATGCATCCCAGCGTATATCCAGACTATTTCCTTCCATTGATACCTCCACTGAGTTTGCTACAGAGGATTGTATCCTGTGGTGTGAATTGGGCTAATTGGTTCCTGCAATATTATACGAGGTATCCAGCTGAGGATCTGATTGTGAGAAAGCATTTTGGGGAAGGCTTAAGGGACTTGAGTGAAATCGAAAAAGACATGAGCTTGTTATTCATCTACGTAAATCCTGTTTTCTATCAGATGAGGCCCGTAGGAACCAATACCATTGTTATAGGGGGAGGAATGCATGTTAACAAGCCCAAACCACTTCCGAAGGTGAGTTTTCAATGTTTTTCTGAATCTATGTGTTTCTGATATTAGTCAGTAGAAAAATGTCTGCGACCGAAGGAAAAAATTTCATTTTCAAGTAGATAAACTTCGCCATATGGAGAAAAGAAAACAACTGTCTTCAGAGAAGTACGTAAGTCATCTAAAGATGTTCCTTTCAAGTATAAACCTTAAGAAGGAGCTCACTTAAGACGAAGGATATTGAATAACAATGATATTCATTTATCTTGTTAAAATGTACACTAAAAAACTCATTTGTAGCTCACTCTTTCATTGACTAATCCTAATTATGATGCACTGTTTGGAACCTTTGGTGTAATAATGAATATTACTGGATTAGAACTCCTCTTCTCTTCCTCTTTGAAGAGGAAGATTAAAACTCCTCTTCTCTTCCTCTTTGAAGATGATCACTTGGTGATCGAAACACGTGTCGAGGTGTTGAAAATAACGATTTGGTGTTGGGAAAAAATTCCAGTAATAAATATTAATCCTAATCGTTCACAAATTGAGTGGGGCTACTTAGAGAGAGGCTATAAATCAAATCATCTCAAAGAACAACTCGTTTAGGTCAGTCTCAACTCTCTACACTATAGGTTAATGGACTGTGACCTATCAGAAAACAACTATTTCTCTGGCTAATACCACGAAGGGAGTTGGATAATATCCGACAGGTGTCAGTGCAGGATTGCGAAGTTGTCTTCCTTATACGAGGAATTGGGCAAATTTAGGACAGAAATAACTTCAGTGAAGAATCCTGCACCCCTACAAATTCAACTGAGCCAGAAACTGAAGGTAAGTGACCATAGAGAACGACGATGAATGAGCTCTGGAGCAGTTGGCAACTGACCCTATTTTCATCGTTTCACCGTTTCTGATTGAATGAGTTCGTGAACAAACACAATTGTCAAATTTGGATCCACATAAGATCCAAGAGCGTCCAATATATCTCGAAAAAGTCACTGTTTGGTGTGGTGTGTTACGAATTGTCTCTCTGTCGCGTCGAAAAATCGCTGTCTGGTGTTGAATCACCATCTCATAGTGTTTGGGCTCTAGTTTACAAGTGATATTCCATTGTAGTCTCTTCTCAATTGTGGTAATGTGAAGTACTCAACTTTGTTTTAGGAACTTCGAGAATTTATAGAGAGCAATGAAAATGGAGCCATTTACTTCAGCTTAGGGACCAATGTCAAGAGTTCTTTGATGACCGACAATATGAAGAGTGTTATTATATCGTCATTAGGCAATCTTCCCTATAATGTACTTTGGAAATTTGAAGACGACAGTATTCAAAGCCTTCCGAAAAACGTTAAAATTGTGAAATGGGCTCCTCAACAGGATGTATTGGGTACGTTGAATGTATGGTGTAAAAGACAATTATAATGTGTCCGATAAGGATATGATAACGATAATTATCGTCAAAACCATAGTCAAAAGTATATTTTTGAAAATGGTGTAATAGCCGAAACTAGTCAACAATAAAGGAATATCGTGGAAAATAGACAAAAATGTGTTTTTATAGTGTATCCTCAGTGAACATGAATTTCTACAAAATAAACAAGTCGTCAATCAAAGAAGATAAATATCGTATCCGTCTGGATACGTCAATTATCACATTATATGTGACCATAATAGACGTTTTTAGTGGGTTTCATGAGAGAAGAGCTAAAAATTGTATCTTTTGTTAGTATCTGTAGCAGCTCATTAGTGAATATTGTAAATAGGATTGGTCCTAGAACCGTTCCTTGTGGATCACCATAAGTAATAATTTTGGGATAACTCATAAATCCATCGGTACTGACTCACTGTTCTTATGGTAAGCTTTCCCGTGTATTCCATAGTTCTCTAATTTCCTCAGGAATTTTGTATGACTAACAGTATTAAAAGCTTTTGAGAAATCAACTATTGTTTGAAGAAAAGATAATAAAAATTTTCTATGTTTTTCAATACTTTAATTTGCAACTAAAGTTACTGCAATTTCCTCCTATAAGGACATTTTCAAAGTTAAATATTAAACTAACAACGATTGATTACATTAGCCCTTATATAATACCACTGTAGGTGATAATAGAGGTACTTAGCTTGATTGAGTACCTGAATTTTGTTTACTAGTGACAAAGTGGATATGCTAATTGGAAAACCGGTGAGTAAACTAAATAGATTTGATCATTTAACAGGTTGGACCCCCAATGTTTAGGCTTTTGAATTTACAAGGATTCTATATAATTGAGTTTGCAACCTTTCCTTGCATAGTGCAAAATTTCCGTATCGTTTAGATTCGGGAACTTGTGGTTGCATGCCAAGGAATTATCGAAATTATCTCTGTTCTTTTACCAAACTCTAACATATTTTGGTAAAAGAACAGAGATGATTGCTGGTTTCTTCAGAAAAAATAATGTGGAAGTGGCATTCAGACCACATGCCAGGTTATCTGATTTCCTTTTCAATGCCAAAGATAAAGTTGGAGAAATCTGGAGTTTATAAGCTTAAGGGTGCGGGTGCAACCTATTAAATGATCAAATCGATTTAGTTTACTCACCGGTTTTTACATTAGCATATCCACATTGTCACTAGTAAACAAAATTCAGGTAGTCGATCAAGCTAAGTACCTCTATTATTACCTACAATGGTGTTATATGAGGGCTAATGTAATCAATCATTGTTGGTTTAATGTATAACTTTGAAAATGTCCTTATAGGACGAAACTGCAGTAATGTTGGTTACAAATAAAAGTGGTAAAAACATGAAAGTTTCAATTCCCTTTTCGTCATTATGATTTCCTACCACGTAGTAACGGCAACATCCATCAATTCACTATTGTTTTATCTCCACTTTTTGAACCTCATCTTCAAATGTTTTGTTATATCTCAAATATATAATGGTACTGAAAATGACCAATACTGTGAACAAACAAATGAAGAACCATTTTTTTATTTCAGGACATCCCAATATAAAACTATTCATAACACAATGCGGGCTCATGTCTATAGACGAAGCAATATACAATCATGTTCCAATGGTGGGAATGCCTTTCATGGGAGATCAAGGGTATAATGCAGTCATTCTGGAGAAGAAACGACTTGGAAAGAGGGTAGACAGAATGAATTTGACCGAAGAGGACTTTACAAAATCAATCATAGAAGTTATCAAAAATCCGATGTGAGAGAAACATGATTCCTGAAATGTTTCTCCCATCATAATATGTTTCAATTTGCTTGTAGATACAAGAAAAACGTAGTAGAGATGGACATGTTAACTAAAGACGTGCAAACAACGGGGTTAGAGAAAGCTGTATGGTGGACAGAATATTGTATTCGAACAAATGGAGCTAAACATCTGAGAAGCCCAGTGATAGATACACCTACATATCAGTTTTATTATTTGGACGTTATTGGTATTTGCCTGACAGTTTTAGCATCAGCGATAGCCATTGGTCTGATTGCAATTAGATTTCTTCTTGGACTTTTATGTCGGAGAGATTCAAAAAAGAAAACTGAGTGAATCATTTCATCCTCAATTGAAATATCATTATTGTTACGTCTCTGGATGACACACTGGTTAATAGATGCGTTTATACAATAACATTGAAATACTCATTAAAGGCGGTATTCTAATAACTTTGTATTCAACTATTATTATTATTTATTGACTGGTTTATTTCGCTTGACATCGCTGGCATGTCTGATATAACACTAAATCCTATACATCCGCTGTGGAAAATTTTCTATATATTGGTAGAATCAAACTGAAATAACAATAGCGCCAGAGAAAATGACCTACACCAATATGCCTTGGTATAATCGTGCGGCTGGAATTGCAAAGGCTGCTTCTCAAAAGCTTGGAACACTGTTCCGAACCAGAGAACTGTACACACCTCTGCAACTTTTGATGCTTCGTAAAGCTATTTGAAGACACGAACATCATTTGCAACCTTGATAGTCTGAAACATCGAAGAAAGGTTATGGGATAACGTCCCCTGAGCTAGTTTAAGTTTTTTCTTTGAAACCCTCTCGTTGTTGCCGTGTTTATTTTATTTAAATTAATTTGGCAGCTGCTGTCACCAGATGCGGATTAGTTATATAGCTACGAGAGTTCTAAGCCATTCCTTATGGAAAAACACGTGTGAATTTGAGCAGGTCCACGGAAGGGGCAAAGGTCAGCGCCTCGTCTCTGCCAGACGTCCATTATGTGGGAACTGAACCTTAACCTTGAAAGCCCACTTCAGACCACCCCCACTCACTAAAGTTTCTCTCTGAAACACTTACCAGCGACGCACGACCTTGAAGTGTGCCAGAAGCCTCTTTGTCCATCTACTGGTTTGAATTTCTCGCTGTACGCGCGGTAGCTTCTGATTGGTCGACTGGGTAATGACGAAAAGTGGAGGAGTGGTGGTGGTCTGAAGTGGCCTTTCAAGGCTAAGGCTCAGTTCATACTTAATGGACGTCTGGCAGAGACGAAGCGCTGACCTTTGTCCCTTCCGTGTGAACTGGGCCTGAGGTCCAAAAAACGCCAGAATGGACCTGCTCAAATTTACACGTGTTTTTCCATAAGGAATGGCTTAGAACTCTCCTAGCTATATTACTCGGATTTCTCCACATCAAATTTTGAATATCAGGTAAGGTTAGGTTAGGTCCAAAGTGAATGGGTCTATTCGACCCTCCACCGCAACCCAAAAGGGTTTATTGTGGCTCAGCCTATTCACACTCCACCAATTGAACGCAGCATAAGTTTGTATGGTGAGTGGTCTTTCAGGTCAGATGGTAAGAGTATGGCTCTGCCGAACTCTAAAAACCTTATTACGTCCCCAACTTTCTAAGAGGTTAGTCTGTTACCCATCAAACTGAGCCCACGTGAAATTGTTCAAGGAAAAAACCTTATATCGCCTAACTAAGCTGTTCACAGATACAAGATCTGAACGTTGATATACTTCTGTCTGCCCGTTTGGTTGAATTCCGATAAGTACGTATTTCTAAGGACGGTGCGTCTGGCCAAGGAACAAGCAGATTAATTATTTATAAACACTCTCACGGTCTGGTCGAAATGTTACATTGTATGAGACACAGGACCGTCGTTGTTTAATTTGTGAATCAAAAGAAATCTATCTATTTCCGAGTCTACAATATACACTAACATACATAGCTTTTGCTAGGTATTAAAATTGGAGATTTATCTCTCTTTTATAGATAGATACTTTCACGGGAGGTGTTCAAGTGTCTTGGCACATCTGATTCCACCAATAGCGGTACATAGATATACGCGACTGACTGTGGCTGCTTATCGTTTCAACCTAAAATTTAATTTCACTTTCTAAGAACTCTTCCATCCAGATAACTGCGTTTATGTGGACTTTTTCCAAATGAATTCAATCTCTGGCGATTCAAATCCAATGTGAATCGCTAATTTCGCACAGGCACTGCTCTTAGAGCGCTTTGGAGATTTTCTTCTAGTGCTTGTATTTTGTCCTAAAAAAAACAAAAGGCAGAGTTTAGCAGCGGTTCGCACATGAAGAGGGGTGAGACAAGAGGTGCTTTCTTCCACTCAAGCAACTGAACTAAGTTACTACAGGGTGTGACATCTTAACCTTTTGCAAGCAAACAAGCAAATTCACATGTTATAGAAGACTACAGTTAATTTCAATTATAATTAAAGTTTCGGCATAGCATAATAACCAATTACGGATTACAAATAACATAATGCATAGTGAGAACCCACCTGAAAGAAGACATTTTTTCAATTTGAATTCGAAGGAAGGTATGGACATATTTTTCAATTATATTATTTTTTCAGCATATGTCCTTTAACATTTCCTGTAATTGGGTGTAAATCTGCTGGAAATAAGTGATATCTATCTATCCAAGACTGTTATAAACTGACTGTTAGTTCCATCTAAAGTCCCAACTCAGGTTTTTGATTCGTCTGTAAATCAGGAGATTTTTACCAAGCATTTTCTTGGGATGCCTGTCCATTCACCTCTCCTCGATGTTTAAGACCTTAACTGCGAAGTTTGCGTCAAATGTGTATTTTGGTGTTATGTAGTCCAGTCTGAAATTGGTACACCCTGGCTTCTTCCATCGTTATATAAAAAGAGGAAGATTCAAAAGTGACTTCAATACAACTGTTGGTGTGGTTTTCATTGCTCCTTTCATCCCCAAACATGCAAGTTCTGCACCCTGTTTAGTTTGTTAATAGCGCTCGTTTGGCCTCTTTAGTTTCCGGACCATAGTTAAATATGGTATCATGGCCTCAACCACCATGATGTAGAGCCAAAAAATCATACCCACCTCTGCCTTACCAGCTTTACTCTAGTATCACTCACAGATATTCGACCTCCTGCGACATTTCCATTTCTTTACCCCTAAGAGTCCTAGATTCTTTATTTTGGTCTTCTTTGTAAATGCTTTCCTGGTCGATTTCGTAGGACTTATGTCCAGCTTTTTATTTTCCGGTCTATCTAGTTAAAATATTCGGGGCATGCTAC